GCCCGCGGTGGCTCTGCGGGCGGTCTGCTTGGTGCGCGCCATGGCGGGGCCGGCCTGTCCTCTGTCCCCGGCTGAGCGGGGCGGGCGCGGGCGGCGGCTGCGGGCGCGATTCACAGAGCCCGTGAGTGTGGATCCACGCGTGGGACCGTCCCCACCCCGAGCATTTTCCTCCTGGACCTGGACTTACGAGCTCGCGGATGTGGAGGTCACAGGATCCGATGCTCCGAGTCCCCCAGGTCTACACGGCCAGCAGCGGGGACCCTCCCTCGCAGGTAATCTCAGGGTGGCTGGAGGTCTTTGTGACCTCAAGGAGGCTCAGTCCCTCATAAAGGGCTCAGATGATTAGGTCAGACCCACCCTGTTGCCTTCCACTGCATTTACTGGGTCACCTGACTCTTAACCACATCAGGCCTATGAAAGCCCATGAAGTGCATGGGTTCTGCCACCCAGAAGGGAGGGGCAGATAACTGAAGTGTAAGAGAGGGATGATAAGTAGGGATGATTCAAAATTCTGCCTGCTACTAAGATCCTGAAATTTACATTTCATGATAATAACGGTAATGCTCACGGTAAAAAATAAAGTATTATCATAGGTGCGCGTTCAACAGTGTAAATGTCTATGCAAGAAGTTCCAACTGAAGAGGTAACAAAGCGTTTATGAGGTGTCCTGAAGGTGAACGGGGTTCGTGGGAGATATGGAACCCCCGACAGAGTGACTTGTCTAGCAGACATTTCACTTGACAGGGAGGGTCCTGGGGCAGTTTTCTCCCCAAATTGACACTCAGGGAAATGTGCTGATGGCATTACGGAAAAGCTGAAGTTTTCCTGATGAAATGGTCAGATGTGACTGTCACTGTTGTCCCCCTTGACTCCTTATCCACCTTGAACTTGGATGTGATTTTGAGATTTCTTTCCTGTGCCCAGGTTGGGCATGCCATGAGACTCAGAGAAGCCAGCCCTGTCCTCACTAAGCTGCTGAACCAAGGTCATAGCTGCTCCCTCCACACTTCTGGTTCCATTAAAAAAAAAAAGAAAGAAAGAAAATCTGTTTCAGTCTACTGTGAACACACTTTTCTGATACTTGTGGAAATTAATGCTCAGTCATGTGATGCAGGTACCATGCACAGAAGTAATAGTCCCATAATAGCACTACTCAAAAAATAAATTCACATTACTGTTCTAAAAAATTAGGCCGGGCACTGTGGCTCATGCCTATAATCCCAGCACTTTGGGAGGCCAAAGTGGGAAAATGCCTGAGCCCAGACTGGGCAACTTGGTGAGACCTCATCTTTATAATAAATCAAGAAAATTTAGTCGGGCATGGTGGCACACGCCTGGTTCCAGCTACTTGGAAAATCTGAGGCGGAAAGATCGCCTGAGTCCAGGAAGTCAAGGCTGTGGTGGCCATGAGTGTGCCACTGCACTCCAGCCTGAGCACGGAGTGAGAAATCAGACTCAATAAATAAATAAATAAAATAAAAATTAAAGCTTTTTTTTTAAAAGAAAAGTTTTAGGTTCACAGCAAAATTGGACAGAAAGTAGAGTTCGTGTATATCTTTTGCCCCACATTTATGCAAAGCCCCCTCCACTACCAACTTCCCATTCGGAGTTATAGTCACTGAACCTACACTGACATATCATTAGCACTCAAAGTCCTTGGCTTAGGGCTCACTTTCGTGTGATACATTCTATGGGTTTGGACAAGCACATCATGATGTATCCAACATTATAGGAGCACATGGAATAGTTTCAAGTCTCTAAAAATCCCTTGTGTCCAACCACCCTGGTCCATCTCCCTTACCCTCAACCCCTCGCGAACAAGAATTTATTTATTCACTCATTTTAAATTGAAATATATAACCTCATGTATCTATTATGTGCAACATGATGTATAGAGAGAGAGTGTGTAAAATCTAAATCTAGGTAATTAACATATGCGTGACCTCACATAGTTATCATTGTGTAGAGAATACTTCACATATACTCATCAGCATTTTTCTTTTCTTTTCTTTTCTTTTTTTTTTTTTTTAGTGGAAGTCTCATTCTGTCACCCAGGCTGGAGTGCAGTGGCATGCTCACAGTCACCATAGCCTCAACCCACCGGGTTTAGGTGATGCTCCTGGCTCAGCTTCACAAGTAGACTACAGGCATGTACCACCACACTTGGCTATTTTTTTAATTATTATTTTGTTGTAGAGATGAGGTCTTTCCATGTTGCTCAGGCTGGTCTCGAACTCTTGAGCTCAGGAAATGCTCTGCCTCCCAAAGTGCTGGGATTACAGGCAGCACTTTCCAAGAATACAATATATTAACTATGCTCACCATGTTGAGCAATAGATCTCTTGAGCTCATTCGTCTAACTGAATTTTTGCATATTTTAACTAACATTTCCTCAAATATCCCACCTCAATCCCCCAGCTCCTGGCAACCACCATTTACTCTCTACTTCTATGAGCTACATTTTCTTAGAATCGACACATGGGTAAGTCCAAGTGAAATTTATCTTTCTATGCTTGGCTTATTTCACTTAGCACAATGTCTTCCAGTTTCATTCATGTTGCAAATGAGAGGATTTTCTTCTTTGTGTCCAAATAGAATTCCACTGTGTCTATATATACACCATATTTTCTTTATCCTATCATCCAATGTCAGACACTTAGTTGGATTCCACAGCTTAGCTATTGTGAACAGTGTTGCAATAAACATGGGAATATGCAGATATATCTTCAATATACTGATTTCTTCCTTTTCCTTTTTTTTTTTTTTTTGGAGGGGGGATGTATACCTAGTAGTGTAGGATGGCTGAATCACATGGTAGCTCTATTTTTAGTTTTCTCAGATTCCTCTATACAGTTTTCCATAATGGCTATACTAATTTACATGCCAATCAACAGTGGGCACGGTTCTTTTTCTCCACTTCTCTATCAGCAATTGTTATCCTTTGTCTTTTGATAACATCTATTCTAATGGGTATGAGGTGACAATTCCCTGATGATTAACAATGTTGAAGATTTTTACATATACTTGCTGGCCACTTGTATGACTTCTTTTCAGAAATATCTGTTTGGATCCTTTACTATTGTTTTTAATGTTTTCTTGCTATTAAGTCGTTTGCATCTTTTATGTATTTTGGATATCAACCCTTCATCAGATACATGATTGACAAGTATTTTCTCCCGTTCTTCTGATTGTCTCCAATCCTATTGTTTCCTTTATTGTGCAGGTTTTTAGTTCCATGTAATCCCATTTGTTAATTTTTCCTTTTGTTTTCTATGCTTTGGGGATTGTATTTTTAAAAATAATCACCCTTACTAATGTTGTAAAGATTTTTTCCTATTCTTTTCTTTTTCTTTTTTTTGAGTTGGAGTCTCACTCCATCGCCCATGCTGGAGTGCAGTGGCACATTCACAACACCTCAGCATCGACCTACTAGGCTCAGGAGATCCTTCCACCTCAGTCTTTCAAGTAGCCAGAACTGCAGGCACATGCTACCATGCCCGGCTAATTTTTTGATTTATTGTAGAGACGAGGTCATACCATGTTGCCCAGACTGGTCTCAAACCCATGGACTCAGGCAATCCTCTTGCTTCAGCCTCCCAAAGTGCTGGAATTACAAGCTTGAGCCACTGTGCCCGGCCCTGTTTTCTTCTAGCAGTTTCATAGTTTAGGGTCTTACTGTTAAATGTTTAATATATTTTAGTTGCTTTTTCTATGTGGCAAAAGATAAGGATCTAATTTTCTTCTTCTGCGTGTGGATATCCAGTTTTCCCATCATCATTTATTGAAGAGATTGTCCTTTTATCATTGCCTATTTCTGACACCTTTGTTGGCTGTATAATACGTGCTTGGATTTATTTCTGGGCTCTTTTCCATTCCATTTGTCTATGTGTCTATTTTCAGCATCATGCTGTTTTGATCACTATAGTTCTGTAGTATACTTTGAAGTCAGGCAACCCACAATCTTTTTCATTACCTCCATCCAATTTGTCCTGTGATCTCACCACTCAGAGATGTTAGTTCACTTTGTTTAGTTTTTTACTTGTTAAGACAGAGTGATGACATCTAAGATTTTTATATACCACCCTGAAAACTAGTACTTGACTTTATTCCTACTATTTATCTTATATCCAAGGTATTTTGATGAATTACATGTAAGTATAATTATAAAGTTTGTTTAACTTTAAGAAAAATATTGAATGCCTAAATTTTAGTCACAGGAAGTTTTCTTGTTAATTTTTATGTTTCATATACTATAAGAACTAAAATAAAATTACGGTTTATAAAATACATTATACACCCTACATATTTTTGTTACAGAGTAGCATAAAGGAGAAATCTCAACTATAAAAATATTTTACATTAGGACAAATTCTTTAGAGGTAAGAGCATGGAAATTAGTTCAGAGAATACAATTTTCTTGGGGCCTGTTTTTCTCCCTGTAGTTTTACATGAGCTTCCTAGGGTATGTTACCATTCTAATATCAAAGATTAATCAGTAAAATAAAATATTGATAAGAAAATGAAAACAGTCATTGTAGAGTAAAAACTGGTTTGTGATTTTATTCTTGTTTTTGTAAGTTAGAAAGCAACTTCTTGTTTCCCCAAGAAAATTCTTTCATGGAAGAACCAGAAGTGTACACAAGAACAACTAGTCCAGTGAATGGCAACGACCACGTTCTGGGACACCAACTTGCCACTGATGGACTGCATCAGATTTCTAACGGATGCCTACAGGAAAGCTGACTGGCTATATAGTTCATAGTGAACCAGCTGCTCCTCAGCCATGGAAGAAAACAAGATTGTCATCTTCTGAGCCTCCACTTCATCTTCGTTCAGCCTTTTCACATTCTTTGGTTTGGTATCTTTCTTCAGTCTTTTGGCTGCAGGAGGAGATAAGGATGATTCTTCCTTTTTACACCCGCTGTTAGGTCTGAGACATCCTGATTCCTGAACTCGCCTTCTTGATC